TAGACAACATATTATACGTTAGTAAGTACATATACATAAGTTTTTCGATTTCATTTTTAATGTAATAAATCATATTCGTTTCCATTTGTCTTCTATAATGATGAAGTTAACCATAGGTTATTAAATATTACAGAAGTCAGAATAATGCTCTCACTATTATAAGGATGGGGAGTTATGGTTTTCTTTCTATTATTTTTAAGACCTAAAAGAGTTGTTCCGCAGTGGATATTCTACAAAAATATTTTAAATTAAACTAAAATTAGTACTTGAAAATATTTGAAACCTACTTTCAAAAGATATTTGTGTATTTACTATTTATAATTTATATATTCAAATAGGCACCACCTCGTACCTACTTATTTTATGAAGTAGGTATTCAAACAAATATTTTCAAATATTTTCAATAATTTTGAAAATCAGTATCTGACATCTGCAATAATAACATAATATATATTTGAATACTTTTAAAAAGTACCTTTTACATTTTTATTAGGGGATTCATTAAACATGCCCATCGTAGTTTTTAGAGCGAAACTTGTTTTTACATATATTATTAAATACAAACTATATTTTTCTTTAACTTAAGTAAAGACTTTTTACCAAGTTAAAAATGTATATTATAATCATAATTTTATTATTTCTACAGTATAATTTTATTTAGTATAATACATTACATATTTTAAATAAATAAATGAATTWAAAAAAATAAATACTGGTGTTGGCGGAGCGAATGCCTTAAATGCCCCTTCTAACAAATATGCCACCGAACTTACTTAATATTGTTTAAGAATATAAGGTACCTAGTGTATAATAATGTATCAATATGCATAAACATGTTCTGAACACTTGAATAAACTAACAGATATTAACTTGAACAGTTTCAAAAATTACACATGGTATTCTTTTATTGCAGTCCAAGTTTGTAATGTTATAATATTACGTGTCCGATGTTAATGTGGTAAAATATCACACAGTACAGTTATAAAGGATTTAAGTTCGATGCGTACTAAATTATTTCTGAGTACCGACAGTTAAAATTAATTAAAGTATTGAATAGGTACCTACTTTATATTTTGTGTAGTTATTATTTACTAAAATATTTATAATGCACTATGCTTTATTGGCATTTATTGTTTTTGCGTTTATGAGCGCAACAAGATGTGTACCATTGGTAAATTTGAAAACTTCGGACAATTTGCAGAATTTGGAAACAATTTTGGAAACGTTGGATACCTTTGATGACTTGAATGACTATAATTTATTGTGTGAAAAAAATAAAATAGAAAGTAACGAGTTTTTAAATTACTGTACAGAATTAATTAATAAAAACAGTATCTATTCACCGAAAAATTTTACACAGACCAAAATTAACGTGATTAGATCTAATTTGTTAAAATTGTTAAGTTTAGAAAATAAGGCAATATCATGTAGAGGTATGAGGCATTTATTGCCAATAATTATGTATGGAATATTCATTAATAACACAGTAAATGGTTCGGCGGAGAATGGAAACAGTGGAAAAGACATTTTTGATAAATTATTTGAAAATAAGTTTGGTTTTTTGAATAACAAAAATTCAAGTATTGAAAAAAAACTTCAAGAAATAAAAGTATCAATGATGAAAAATTTCGGAACAAACAAAAAACTAGACGAAACGCCTGTACAAAGTAAGGAAAAATTCGCAGTAACAAGTAGCAATATTATGAAAAATATTATGACAACTATTCAGTTGATTTTACCTTTTATTGAAGAACTTGACTATTTCTATAATTTGTACAAAATAAACAAAGTATGGACTGCCGATAAGTATGATCGCAACTTATTATTATTATTAATTTTTGAYGAAGTAAAAAGAATGTACAAGACAGAATGTAATGCCGACGTCGACGCAACAGCATTGCTGCAAAATAGAGACGGAAAATGGGATTTCGAGCTAAATTACGATTCAATTCCTTTGCTTGTCGGAGAAATCGACAGGTTATCTGTGACAATACAGAAAGATTTGGAGTTGTTGTTTGTGAAATTTTTTCCGGCAAATAACCTTAAGCACCAGTTTTCAGATATGTCGATCATGTACCATCAAACGATCAACAAGTACCACGATCCTGAAGTCTGGAGACTAATCGGTAACGAGGCCATAGTAGACCATTCATCCGATTCCGGCGAAACGGTACCGACATCGATAGACAAAGTTGTGCCGAATCTATCGAAAATGATTCAAAAGACCACGGACAGTGCTATTGAATTAGTAACAAAAAAGATTACGTGTCGTTATTTAGCATACTTTAATCTCTTGGTAAAACTATTCTATAGTAACATGTGTGTGTTGGCGGTAAACGCGAGAGAAGTCCAACKGTCGATCCAGATGTTGCAGGGAATCAAATATTATGATGATGACAAATTTAAGAACTTGTTACATGACACGATTAAGGAACTCGGGACAGATAAGTGTTTTAACGGTTACGATGTCAGTGCGATTGATGAGTTATTGGATCGAAATGGTGGTGATGAAAATTTCCGTTATGTCTACGCCTACTACTGGAACTACAATGCTAAGTCTATAAGAAACGCGATCGAAAACGGTYACGAATATTTGTTGGACTGGAATTTTGGGGTCGAATTAGTTCCGATGGTACGGGAGATTGACAGGATTCAGATCCTGCAGCCAAAGATGAAATCCGTTGAGTTTCTGTTCAATAGGTACAAGTTGGGCAAGCGAGTGTTCAAGGACTACTGTTTTTCCGACTCAGATAATGTCGACTATGTGTTTACGTTCAGCAACAACATAACATTGGGGCTTCAAGCCACGAAGAATAACACCGAGAAGAAATTAACTCTGGATTTTATAATTACGATGATTGAAACTATTAACGAAAAGATGATTAAMTATTTAGAGACTTTTTACTTCTAAGTTTTTTGAAGAGTAAGCGTAACAATATTAGCTTGTATTGAAATGAAATTAAAGATTAATATAAGCAAGTAATGCCACAACTTGAATTTTTTCACTCTAAGACAATCTTTTGCCATTAATATCTATCTAATTTGCCTAATATCTAATATAAATATGTTATTTTGATATTAGCTTTTAATCAGAGACTATGACAGCTCGAAAATATTATACAAATAATATTGTTAAGTATCAACATTTTGCCACTTAATTTGCTACGATTTCATATTGTTTACATAAGTGATAGAAGGTTTATTTAAATATTATTTTCCTTCTTTGTCCTTTACAAGTGTCAGTTTACTATTTACTTGTGTATATGTACTACAAGAATAAGGACATAWTGTAGGGTATCTTTCCACATTTTAAAATATAAATAATATACTTTGTTGGACATATGATTGTTGGCGGTGACGAGTTTTTATCCACTTTCCCCAACAAGTCAACGAGCAAGAACAGTGCTTTGAAATAAAGCCACAACCCTGCGCACAAGTAGGCCATCAACTACTGCTCTTAAGTAGAATCAAGTAAAAGAGTACTGAGTACAGTCAATTTTTTATTACCAATAATTTTATTAATTTATTAGGCTAATAAAAATCATATACAAATATAACTTAATTTTAATATATCTTAGATGTAAAAATAAAATAAAACTTATTTCTTAGAGAGCTTAAACTTTTAAACAAGTATTCAGTTTCAATGAAATCAATATTAATACTAATTTCATTAATAAATATAACACATAAAATTAAGCATTTTCTATCTCACTATATTAATTTAATAAGCTTAGAACTATATTTAAGAGGAGTAATAATTTAAATTTTTGAATGGCGGTGTTTTAGTTACATTTGTTGAGGATCGTAATTTACGTTTTAAGTTATTCAAATGATTATTCTCTTGATCATAGTCTTTAGTATTTACACGGAGCATGCTATCATATTTTGTATTATTTTTTACATATTTACTTAGCACTTTTTCATTTCCACTTCTTAACTGTAATTTAAATGCTGTTTTATTGTTTAGTTTTTCTAATTGAATATCATTGTTAAATACATTTGTAGAGTATGGAATACTTAGGTTTTGGCCATGTATGTTTAGATTAGACGTTTCATTTATTTGAGAAACTGTTGAATCATTTCTATGTTTGGTTTGGTTTTCCATACAATTTTGTGAGTATTGTTTTTGCTGAATAATATTTGTATTTTTAATTAACTTGTTTTCAGCRTCCATAACAGCTGTGGATCGAAGAGTTCTTGCATAAATACTTCTTATAGGCTTATTAGGCTTTATGTATACATAATGAGATTTTTTCTTCTTTACTATAGGRAGATTTATTATAATATTAGATACTGCTTTATGTAGATATCTAATATTTATATCTTTACTGTATTCAGTAATATCAGCTAATGAATACCAATTGTCGATATTATTACATATTGTATTCCATTTTCCTGAGCCAAACACTCCCGACGGATAAGATTTATAAGGAATTTTTYCGTGGATATTCTATAAAACAAATATTAAATTAGATGTTTAAGTTGATCTAAAAATATATTATAGTGAATACAATTTTTTTCTGTCAATATTTTTTTAAATGATTTAAAAGTGAGATATAATAAATTAAATATATTGTAAACCTTATTTTACTTACAAGATCTACAGGTAAGTTGGCACTGTTAGTAGATAGATCAAGCAAGTTCTCAAAGTCTTCTCTATATAATTTATTACTACCAAAATACCAATATACTGATTTATTTAAATCATAACCTAATGGTTTTACATTTAACATGTGCCACATTTTAGGATTATTGGAGATTTTATTTTGAATATGCTTAACATCAAGAATAAAATTACAAAAAATGTACAGAGCTTCAACTTTTTGTTTTCGTGTTAAATCATCAAAATATGTTGCTGAATCTAGTGGATATTTAAAGTTGTAAATCTGAAAAATATAATCAGTACCTAATTATTATTATTTTAACCTTTTTACATGCATATAATAAATAAGGAGAACCTTAAACACTATATTATTTATCTTTGGYCTTTAGGCATTACAATTTTGTTTTTATTTAAAACAATACACATTACTGAAATTGTATAATTTACCAAATTGATACCAAAAGTGAATAAAACTTGTAATTTACAAGTAGTTATTTAGTAATAATAAATGTATAACTACAGTATGCTTTCATCATATTATGTGTATTTATAGAAAAATTAATTTGTTCAACAGAACTATACTCCGTCCAGCGAGAGAGCGCACCTCGTTCGCGCATCCAAATGACGGAGCTCCGCAGTTTTGAGGCGAATTGCTCCCACTACACGGTGACCAGTGGTGAGCACCGTAATGCTTACTAGCAGTCGGCATAGTCTGAGGTGACGTATAAACTAGTTGCGGGAATGCGAGTTTTGGTCGCCGCCGAGGTGCGTTCTCTCGTTGGACGGAGTATAATTGTATTTTAAATACAAAAAAAAAAGGAAAATAACATATTATGAGAAATTAAAATAAACTTAAAAATATGTTATATTTAATAAAAAAAAAAAAACACAAAAAATATGTTCAGAAAGTGGAAACAGAACTTAACTTTATTCAAAATGAATATGCAAGTGCATTAAGTAAACAACATATTCATATTATTTTAAACTTACAATGCATTTACTCTGAAATTTTTTTTTCATAAAATTCCACCATTCATTTGTGTTTGGATCATAAAAACCACAAATTTTGGTAAACCGGATAGCCATATCAGTCAACAAATATGAATTCTCTTCAATCGCATTTTCAAATTCCTGTAAATAGTTAATCGTTAAAAATAGTAAAATTTTTTTTTTTATAAACACCTAATAAAAATTGAATGTTTGTGACAAGCAACAGTTTAATATTTTGGATGAGAACTTTCAAATATATTTAGTAATTTATTTATTATGTTTATTTGATCATTATTAAACACACATCTGTGAATTTATAATAAATAAACATTTTTTTTTATCAACCATCACTAAAGTCAAATCAGCAATAGTAAAAAAGTATCTTCTGTATAAAAAATATGAATTTACTATACATCTATTAAATATAGAAATTTGAAAACTAAATAAAGAGTAATTGTTTTTAAATTTAAAAAAAAAAAACAAACAATATAATCAAATAATTTGTCTATATAAGAACATTTAATTAATTAATATATATTATATAGGTAATTTAATACCTACATTCAGTGCTCAACTTGTGGGGKGACGCAGGGGGACGGAGTACCCCAACTAATTATTCAGAAATTTCAGCGTACCTCTACTTTTATTTTTAAGGGGAACGCATGGGACGCTAAATCATGCCATCATTGCCATCATTYTGAATTTTTAATTTTTATCAAAATGTATGTGTTAAGTGATAACATATATAAATAAATAGTTTTTTTTTGTTTTGTTTCAATTGTTTTTGAGTTTGTTATATTTTATTTTATAAGTTAAAAATATATTATACAATTTAATATTTACATAATTTTTTTTTTTTATTTAATTCATAAATATTTCCTATATGWTTTAAAGAGGTGTATTAGGGGGTGCGGGCTTTGTAACGTTAAACAAGTGGTKGGGACGCTCTTTTTTTTAAAGTTAACAGAGTCCTACTTTAATTTTGTCAAATCGAGCACTGCTTACATTTATAATTTGGAAAATATTTTCAAACTACTCTGTAATAATTCTTTTTCTAACATTAATTGAATATAATTTTTAACATAATATTTTGTACTTACATTTATGTCTATTCGACTGATATCTTTGGTGATGAGGGTAAAAACTTTACAAAAATGTACAATACTCGGTATCTCCCACCAAGTTCGAATTTCTGAAATGTATTGTAARATGTATTGTTAAATAACTATTTACTAATTCATTACAAAAAACTAACAACAAAATCATATTAGATAAGATAAAATAAATATTGTTAACTAGTCAGCCTAAAATTTTTTTTTAGAGATTAGGCCATAAATGGAACACAGGAACTATTATTATTTTATGAAAAAGTGTTAAAAATACAATTGAATATTGAAATAATTTTTTTTTTGTTAAAATTGAACCCAATTACACTGTAGTCCAACTTTAAAGATATATTATACAATGCAGGTAATCATTATATATTCACTTTGCATATTCATCCTTCATTTTCCAACAAACAATGAATTTATTCAAATTTGAATTTTTGGAATAATTAGAGGTACCTACACATAATTAAGCACCTTGTTTGCAAATATAGCAGTTTTTTAAAAAAATTTAAATTTTAAAGAATGTCCTGTATCGATAACAACTTGGATTTTCAAATAAGCATCATACTTTTTATATAAAATTAATTGAATGTTTTGAAATTTAAAATTGCATTGAACATCATTAATTTGATAACTATCATAAACGATTATTGAGCATTTATTAAGTGACAGTCATGCTTTTTTCAAAATATTAATAATTGCAAAATATTCATGCTAAAATAAATGTAAGCACCATTGAAATTTGAATTCATATTTAACAATAAAAATTATAGAACTATTTATAATTTATATCTGAAGACTGAATTGATTCACTCAGTTGAAAACGACATGTAAATTCAAAATATAAAATCATCTATAAATATGCATATTTACACATCTAAAGGCATAAGCCGCAAAACCTGACAAAAATGGAGGGAAAATATTAATTGTTGTTTACAAGTATATTGATCATAGACCTAAGGTTAATTTTTTCTAGTTAAAGGTAATGATCCCTTATGGTTGAATAATGAATATAAATGTTATCTTTCGACATCCTGTCAAATGCTTACACTTAATTAGTAGTTTGTTATATTAGCATACTTACCATCCATCATAATAGGTGAAAAAGCGTAGAAATTAAATTATCGAAGACTAATTTGGTATAAATTATGGTATATAATTAGGAAATGTTGCAGAATCAATACACTTTAAGCTGTCACTATTAATCATATAATAAATGTGTGATTTCCGTATATTTTACAAATAGCGTGATAATACCGTTAAAAATTCATAAGAATATAAGATGATAATGAATAATGATTGTTATTACAATTACAATATTATGTTTGTTGTCGAGAAAGTACGTATTATTAATTGGGAAATCGAAGTATAGACATTTAATAATGCACAAGCTAAAATTTTTAATTAATAACTTCCAAGAGCGTAATATAAATTCACATTGATCGATTGACCATAATATGATTCGACAAGCCTCGGTGGCTCAGTAGCACTGTGACTTGTGAGTCTAAAGTCTATTGTGTCCAACTCACTCTAACTCTAAACCCTAAACAGTAAACAGTAAACACTTCTCCAAATTCGTACAATATCGACATATCGTCCAAAACGCAGACCGAATAACAAATAACAATAACGACCGGTGRATGGCAGTACTAGAACATCGTCACTAGAGAGCGCCAACATCGCCTTTCTTCACAGATCAAGATATTCTAATGGTATATAATAATAGTAATAACTGTTTTTTAAATAGTAAATAGTACTGTTAATTTTATTAGATAGTAATTAGTAATATGCTACAGAAGTAGTGAATAACGATCACGGTTTAAGACGTCATGGTACTGTGGTATTAACTAGTCATACTATTATTACATCTTAGTCCGTGCCATAAGACAACAGCACTCCCCCAAACTTCAAACGCTATTTGCGCCTATATATATATATATATATATATATATATAAACTAGGTAATTTTGATCTAATAGGCAATAGTAAATAGTTAATGAACATATTATTCATTGAAATAGTACGTAACCGTGAAGTAATATATAAGTGACAAGTTAGTTTTAYAGGCCAATGATTTCTGTAACAAAATCAGAGCTGCAATTAGGCACCTATAATATGAGCAATTAGATATTTCTCGCGACACATTAGTACATTACCTAATCATTTAAATAAAACATGCACTAAATTACTATAGTATCGGCATTAAAATTCGAATTAAAGCAACCGACTTAAAATATAATTAAATATTAACATATCGTATAAAATATCTATTGGGACATAATAGTATTTAATATTTCAGTATAGTATGGTGTATGGACATAAAACAATATGGATTAACAATTTGACATCACGAACTACGATATAGTTTTAGATATATCTTAGTCCGTGAACGTGATATGAAACTTAACAGTAATACAGCTAGAAGGTAGAATACTAGAATGTTCAATGTATGGCCGTATGTGGGGCACATCTTTAATCGAGGTAAATAATAAATCAATATTATTATTTTTTGTTTATTTATAGGGTGTTTGAAAAACCGCGTTATTCATGATAAACAGTACTGCCAACATTTCGCTTATTCTGTGGTGTCGACGACCTATAAGACGCAGTGCGCACGCTGCCACGGTTTAACGACAAAAATTTTTACTGCAGGCCGGGCAGCATTGCAGCTGCATCCTGCAGCTAATAACGGCGGCACGGCAACGTCCCTCGTAAACAACGGAAAATCTCTTTGCGCGGCGTCCAACCCCCCCACCGCTGAAGATTTTAAGCTTGGCGCTTGCGCAGTCTACGTGCCGCGCGTCTGTGTGTGTGACTGTGTGTGTCGCCGCCGTCGTCGAGGTTCTCTATAGTCCACTGGACCGGATAACATGACAAAAATGGCCGACGGCGTGGACATCGATCTGTACGCCGACGATTTGGAACAAGACTTCGCCCAGGTAAGATACTCACTGACCTGAAGTCGTCGTTGACGCTTTGCTTGTATTTGGCGTGCGTGTCTTCCATGACCCATCGTACCGAACGCGTATCTGCCGCTGAAGTCTGGTAGCATCGGCTGATCTAGCTGATCTGAATTGAGCCTCTGCCGGGTTCTGCAGTTACTCAGAATTAATATCGGTCACCTAGAAACATCCATCAGTTGCACTTTGCWTGAAATTTAAGCATTCCATATTTCCGCAGTCGCTGTCATTCCCTCCGCCCACTCGATCATTTGCTCACCCATTTGACACTAGCCCACCCTTCATGTCTAACGCGTGTAATCGTTTACCAGACGTGCGAGTCGTGGTTACGATAAGGCTCGTCGAACTAATTTGATCTCTTCTCTGGAGTCTGTGGTTTTAGTATTGAGTATTTGAGTACTAAGTGGCATCCATAACATGGTTCTACCAAATAAACTTATATTTATGTATAACTCTAACCTCCTGTGTTCCATAGTTAATGGAAGTTTACATTTATACATACTCATCTGTATTGTATACTATAATATTCTAGGTTATTCTCATTTTATATTTATCCTCCTCACTTAATTACTCTAGTTTCATAAGTATTATTAATTTAAGTTTAAAATTACTATAGGTTTTACTATCGTACAACTTAGAATTACCTTTAATTACAATTACAGGATTACTTTTGTGTTGTTTTAGATACAATATAATTATTAATTACCATTATGTATTAGGCAAATAATGAAAATGGAAAATAGGTATTGATTGTATATAATTTTTTTCATTGTTTCTAAAATAATGACTAATCGTGATACATTAAAATGTTTAACTATCATTTTCTTTTTGTATAGTAATTGTCTATTTGTTAAAATTGAAATCTGAATTAATACATAGGTGCTTTACTATAATTTATTTAAAAACATTTAGATACTTAGATTGTAAGTTTCTGCACAGATGCATATTATTAATTGAACAATTTTCCTAACAACAAAATAAAAATCATTCTAATAGTTAATGCCATTTTTATTTTAAATAAAAAAAAATTATTCTTTAGGCTTAGGTATACCTACTTCTAGTCAAATTATTTGACAATAAAAAAAAAATAAATATATATATATATTTTTTTCTAAACCTGAAATATAAAACATATGAGTTGGAATATCATATATATTACATTAATTTTTAATTCCTTGTTTTACTATAGGTATGAGAAATTTAGTAACTTAAAAGAAACATTTCAAATGTTGCTGCTACCTATTAATGTTGTACCTAATTTAATGTTGGTTTAGATCGAGGTTTAAATATAAATTTAAATAAATTACTATTTCTTTAACCTTGTGCATTGACTTGGAAAAATTTATGATAATCATATTAATTAGGTGTCGAATTTGTTAATGGTATCTATACTCTGTTCAAAATAAGAAACACAGTCGGCGGCGACCATTTTTTGTCGGCAGTAGTCAGGCAACGCCTATTGTTACCCCCACTTAATCAAACATATGTTCGTCTGCTGAACCGATGACGACCGACACGTCGTGCCGACGTACAGGTACAACCACTGGTTGACTCACATCGAYAGATCAAAATAGTGTACAACAGTATATTTTAAGTTATTGTTTCACAATGCTGGTCGACAATACACTAATGSGACGCTCTAACCGGCAACATTGTTCTAATATTGTGTTTTGAATGAAACCACGCCCATGCGCAGTAGTCGGCCGCCGACTGTGTTTCTTATTCTGAATAGAGTATATATTAGAATTTGACTGTTAGAATATCTTATATTAGTTAGTCTTAAGAAGATGTGATATAATTTTGAAATTAATTATAAGTATTTTAAGATGTGTCCTCCAATGATGTGTAAGACATTGTCCTCCTTTTAAACAATAATTTTTGTTCAAATATATTGGCATATCTATTTCATAACATTGCCTTTAATCACAATATATTGTATTTGGTTTATTATCTCAGGAGGATTTTGCTGGTAACGACAATGTAGATTTGTATGATGATGTCATATCTGGGACAAATGACAGTGCTCAGACAAGACAACCAGTTGATAGACCTCCTAGTGCAAATAACCAAAATAGTACTCCATTAGTCACAAATGGTTCATCCACTAACAGCTCCTCTAGTAATAATTCTACTACAGGACGTCGGTACCAATTATACATCSGTAATTTAACATGGGTAAGTAAAACAAGTATATTTATTTGTATTTAATCAATTTTTGTTTACAATCCTTAAGTTGTAATTTATGTATTAATGTAATTTACAGTGGACAACTGATCAAGATATAACGGATAGTGTTACAAGTATAGGTGTCTCAGATTTCATTGAGGTTAAATTTTTTGAAAATCGAGGAAATGGCCAATCAAAAGGTTTCTGTGTTGTTACATTGGGCTCTGAACATAGTTTACGAATGGTTATGGATAGATTACCAAAAAAAGAGCTCCATGGACAATCGCCTGTTGTCACTTTTCCAACTAAACAAGCCCTTTTACAAGTATTAATTGTCTTCATTATTAGTCTGTTTAATGTAGGAAAATAATATTAATTAATTATAATTGATTTAGTTTGAATCACAATCCAAAACTCGTCCACTACCTCCACCAAACAATCAGAATATGCCATCTATGGGTGGTATGTCAAGAACACCTGGTCAAGTTATGCAGCAACCTATGCGTGGTGGCCCTATGATGCCACAGCAACCTATGATGCAACAACAAGGAATGAGAAATAGAATGCCAATGCAAGGTATGCAGCAACCCCCTCAAGGCATGCAGCCACCGATGGGAATGACTAATGGCCATAGAATGCCATTGCAATCAGGTGGACCTATGGGTCCTCATCAACAAGGTCCCCCTCCTCCAGGTTACCAAAACCAATGGAATGGAATTAACCAACAAATGGGTAATTATTTAACAAACAAACTGTTATATATATATATATATATTATTTTTAAAACTATTCTGCTGTCTGAAATCATGTAGGTCCTCCAAGACCAGGGATGCAACCTCAAGGACCTGTGGGTCAGCCTAGAGGACCACCTCCAGGAATGGTAATCATTTTAAATGGTTTTTATTTTATTATTTATTTAAATTTGGTTATAATTTTTGGTAGTTTCCACCGGGTCAAGGTCCACCACGAATGGGGCCACCACAAGGTCCTCAGGGTCCACCAGGACCTGGAGGTCCACGTGGTGATTGGAATCGTCCTCCTGGAATGGCACCACATCAAATGGCCCCACCAGGTTCAGGTTTTCCACCACATCAACAAGGCCCACCAATGCAAGGTCCTCCGCCTGGTCAAGGTAATAGTTTTTCAAGTCTCATTGTGTTTAATTTATTTATAAAAATGCTATTATTATATATAAAATTTAAATAAATTTCATCACATTTTAGGCCCAGTTCAAATGATGCCAGGTGGCCCTGGTCAAGCACCAGCTCCACACGTGAATCCGGCATTCTTCCAACAGCCTAGTGGTGCACCTCAGGGACCTCCAGGTCATCCAGGATATGGTCCTCCTAATGGACCTACTTCTCGACCTTACATGAATAATGATATGGGAATGTCAGAACAAGAATTAGAAGAAATTATGAGTAGGAACAGAACTGTCTCTAGTTCGGCTATTGCTCGAGCTGTTGCTGATGCTGCTGCTGGTGAATTCTCAAATGCTATTGAAACTTTGGTTACTGCAATATCATTAATAAAACAATMCAAGGTTGCTAGTGATGAGCGTTGTAAAATATTAGTGAGTTCTTTGCACGATACATTACATGGGATTGAAAGCAAGAGTTATAGTTCAAGAAGAGGTAACTAAAATACAATTATAACATTTTTGTTGACTATTTTGTACATGTATTTTTTTTTAGAGAGGTCTAGATCACCTCGTGACAGATTGCATCGAAGATCAAGGCGTGAGCGGACTAGATCCCGTGAACGTGACTATAGAGATAGAAGTCGTGAACGTGATCGTGATAGGGAAAGAGATCGTGACAAGTATGATGTATTTCTTTATATTGTTTAGTCACAACAAGTCTATAGCTTTTTATTGTTTTAAATTAACTATTATTTTATAGTCTACTTAGTTCAGCACTGTTCAGTTATAACTTGAAGAATATCTATATTTCTCTAAATAAAAGCTATATAAAATATTATATAAATATTATGTTGTCATGTTGCCATAACATCGATGTGTTAACAGGTACGTTGACCGTTATTATACTTCAGAACGAGATGGTGACAGAGATAGGGAAAGAGAAAGGGATCGCGAATACAGAGAGAGAAGTCGAGAAGACAGGTAAGATTCTGGAATTATTTTTTAAATTCATGAAAAATTCTTCTTGGAAGTATTTGTGCTTTATAAGTGTCCATAGTTGTTGAGGGTAAAGTTTATTGTTTAACAGTTCTGTAAAAGCAAGCGGCCGAAATAGGAAAATCACTCCGCCCGACGTAACCGAGTCTGTTCCTGTATCCTCTAAATCCAGGTAATATCACTCAATCTTCATTTCCTTTCATCAAGTTTCCTAAAAAAAAATAATAAATATTCAAAAATTGATAATAATAAATATTCTATAGACTTGTTTAAATGTACTGAATATGTTATTACATTTTTTAATTGATTTAATATTTTAGGTATTATGATGATCGTTATCGAGAACGTGAACGTGATAGAGACAGAGAACGAGATCGTGAACGTGAACGAGAACCGACCTCTAGTAGGAGAGCAGTAGATCCAGACAGAGATATTGAACGTGACCGTGATCGTAGGGAAGACCGTGCTGAATCTTCGCATCGTAGTTCTAGACATTAATACATCTGTGGTAAGTATTTATTTTGTTGTAAGTATTGTAAACTAGAAAAATGCTGTTTATTTAGACTGTTTAATTTTAGTATAGATATAATACAAGTTAACAATCCTTTTTTTAAATTTTCGTTAGTTGTTTATTTTTATTTTTATTTTTTTTTTTTTTTTTTTTGATGGTCTTTCCTTATTACCTATATACATTTAAGTTAATGTTAATAAATTCACTAAAATATTAGAAATCTTTATAGTACTAAGCAAAGGCTGATAGAATTTTTATTATACATTTTAATGATGGTTGGAGAAATGGCCTTTTTAACTAATTTCTGTGATAAATAAGCTGTGATAAAAATAACATATTTAATATGTAACATTAAATACAATATTGTATTTAATAATAGTGTATCTGTGAAAAAATTATTTTTGTATTAGGAATATGTGTTATCTTAAATAAAACACAAGTGAATTATAGGTATGTTTAAGAATTTTTGCATGCCGTTTTTGTTAAACTTAAATCAAGCATTAGAGTAAGATTTATACATACAATATACCTACATATATATAAGTGTTTACTTTTAAAAATGATAGTATGAATATGATGAACATTTTAATTTATAATATGCTTGTATGCATTTATTATTAATTATATTATGTTTTTTATCATTATTTTTTAATTGATCATTAACTATTGGATATCATAAAGGGTATAATTTGGTAATTATATAATTTTTTTTATTTAGTTTTATAATTTTCTACATATTTTATTCTTTGGGTTTCTGTTATGTTCTACTTATCCACCTGAGATTTTTAAAAGCTTTGTTTATATTGTAATTGTCTAGTTTAAATTGTATTTGTTACAATTGGTTAACTTATTTAGCTTATATTTATATAACTGACTGTTAAAAATACATAGTAAACGAAGCTTTTAAATGTATTATATTTTTCTATGATTAAATCAAAATTTTTATGATTTATTTTTCTCTACAAGTGTTAAGTGCATAGTGAAGTATTTAATTTTGTATTGAATGTTTCAAAATTTAAAAATATATTTTGATTGTTAAATCTAAGAACTACGTTTATTTGGTAATCATTTTAGGCACTTAATATTATTAATTCTGTCATCAAACGTTTTTCGATGTTTACAAAAGTTCAGTCCATACTTAGTTTTCTTATTTTCATTCATGCAATAATTTAATAAATTTGTATTAAAATTGCTTTATGTACATAATCTCATGTGAATAATATCTATTATTTTTGTTAAAAGTCAAAATATAAGTGTAAGAAAATTAATTTTTTTTATTTTGTCAGATTATCCTTATTTATCCGATTAATAATATATTGATARTGAACTATGAGATTTAAAGATATTCTATGCTTATTAGTTTTCAGACTACTAAAAAAAATGTCCATAGGGAAACCTAGAAAAGAGTTAACTACTGAAATTTAATTTTTTAGTGTTTCCCTAAGGGAATTGGCATCATGTTTATCTTGCAATTAGTGATTAGAATTTGCAAGTAATACTGATGATTAAATTAATTATTATATTTATTACATAAAAATAAAATATTTCATATTTTTATTTAATATAAGGATATTTTAATCAATAGTACTAAATGATAGGTATAAAACAATTGTTAACTATTGCTATAATAGTTATATTTGACACTTGTGTTTAGGTAAAGAATAAGAACAATGTTTATCCTGTTTTGAGGTATAAAATACTGAGTTAATTTAAAAAAAAATTGATTAGAACACATTATTTTTTATTAATACTGACAATGCATGTATTTTATTGCCAATAAAAAAAAAACAAGTTTCTTAATTATTAATTTGTAATATTATGCTCAACCAGAGGTGATATTTTTTTGGCCTGAACAAATCTAAGCACCCCAAAATAAACCTTTTAAAATGTTCTTTGGTATTTATTTACTAAAAATTATTATACTGAGCCTTTAATGTTAAATAATATGCTATAATTTTATTAGTGAGTTTTAATAACTTTAAAATTTAAATGACATCATCCACCTAATTGATATAAGATTAATATTTAAGTAGGTGCAGTATAATAAACTCAGCAATTGAAATTACAGTTCAAATCTTGTCTTTGAGTTGAAGATAATTATATGCAAATGTTGATTGTTGATATGTGTCAATAAAAGCTTATTTATTCTATTAAAATTTCTTTCTTAATGTTAGAATAGAAAACAACATAGTTGTGATACTGTTTACTTCACTAATGTTTTTGTAAATATTATTCATCATTATCAATAATACTTTGTTATTGGTGATTTTTATTGTCATAAAAATCATTCAGTAGAACTTCCATGTAATATATTCTCAAAAGGACAAGAAGCAGTGACTGCTGGTTTGTTCTATAGAGGTGATTTAACAGTATTAGGTACTTAGAAAATGTTAAATGTTGTCTGATATTTGCCAATTAGGTTTGATACTTTTAATATATTCATTGACGTTTGATTTCCATTACTTAAATATTCTGTCTTATGAGGTGAGTTACTTGAATTAACCTTAATTAAATTTATCGTTGATAATGTATGCTCACATCCCCTCCCCCTCTGCCAAATTCTAACACAATGTTATCATGTTAAAGCTAGATTTTTTCGTTTATTTTTTGGTATTTGATACTTATTACTGCCATTAATAATTGAAAGTAATTTTTCTATTTTGGGAACTACTTATTATTTTATTATAATTTAATGTAAATTGGTATATAGGAGGTATTCATGTATTTTTCACAACACTTATTGGGACAAAAATAATCAATGTTTTACTGTAATTGTCTATATATTTATGAATCAGATCAGGTAATGGTTTTTTAATATTATTCCAACTTATAGCAGTATTTAATATTTCAATTTTTAAACTATCTGTAGTATCAAACAATTTTTGAAACCCTTCCACTTTTCCAGACGTAAGACATTCTTATATTTTATTATATTTTCATTTGTTGGCAAMTATATAATTTTAGGAAAACTGGTTTCATTATTTTAATTTTAAATAATCAGATCATATATTATATATGTCAAAGTATACAATTTAAAAAATGTAGCATTTTTAGGTTATAATATATTTCCTTGTTTTTCTTTGATCCTTTTTATCCATGCTTTAAAGTTTCCATTACTAATTCATTACAGTGATATATTTAGAGTAAATTGTATAAATTTACATTTAAACTAAAGMACTTTTATAAATTAATCATTTTTTTAGTCAATTTTAAAGTTGATACATAATATTTTAGTTGTATTTATAAAATGTAAAAAATTTCTTTATCAGAAATCATTAATAAAGCGGTCTTCGTGAAGTTGGCACTAAGAATATTTTTTCAATTTCTCCATAATAATTTGACTCATATGTAAGCAATAATTTTTCTTGTTATATTATGCTGAAAAAAAATATTAAATAAGATATTTATTCTAGTTTTTAAGTTATTGCTTGACATAAACATATTTTTAAAATATTTTACATAACTGAGCTAAGATTAATATTAAATATGTGCAATTATCAATTATTATTATATTTATTATTTATTATTTATGTTAAGTTTCAGAGGTAATTTGTCAAGGATAAATAATCCCCCAACTTAAATACAAATGTTATTATACCTGTTGATAATATATTTATCTAACTTATAAACTTATTTATTTGTTCATTAAATCTATAAAAAAAATTATATTAAAAACATTAAAATTTCTTCTAAATAATATATAAAATATAATTATTAAAAAATTAATAACTGTTATATAATTAAAAAACTTAAAAACATAATATATTTTGAAAAAAAAATTAATTAACTCACATCCCCCAAATGTGAAAAATTAACTATAGTTAATAATTTTTAAACTAATTTAAATGAAGTTATTTACTTGAAAATACTTATATTAATTTTATATTTGAAATCAATTTTTATGTTCAATACAAAATATGCTATTGGATTGATACATTTACTGTGATCATATTCTTAATATTCTTTGTAATATTTATTATTATTTTTAATTAATACCCAATGAACCATACTACTTCATCAATGGGATCTTATTAATTATTTATATCCTATTTATTTCCCAAAGTGTTGGTTGTGAAAGTATTTTCATTTTTATCTATACTCATAAAAATATTTGTTTGCTCTTCTGGACCTAAAATTCAATGGGAAGTAAAAGTTGATTGATGAAAGTGGTGTAACTTTTAGTAGCTTATAATGTATTATGAATATAATAAGTTTGAATTCCACTGATTTTAAGTATTGATTCATGATTTATTTAAGTTATTTAAATTGTATTCTTAACATGTTTCTTAGATATTGTTAATATAAGCTTTGATACTTTAGGTCTCATTTGAATTGATAATAATGAATATCTTAAATAGTAATAAGCTATTGGTGTGGCAGCTACTAGTTCTCTTTTAAATTAACGTGCAATTAGACAACTTCTAAGATTATTTACCACTTCATAATCCTTGCCACAAAAACTGCCTCTGAGTATCATAATTTGTGTGATATACCCAGTCTGTTAGCCATGTGTTCTCATACTAAGCCAGCTATTGCAGCCGTATATATATATTATATTACATATCATATTATACTATATTATATATTTTTAATTGTATCATATGGCATAGAACCACTTATTGTGGCAAAGACTTTAGTGATATTTGTCTTTAGTTGGAAATAAATAATCTTTTCAGAGAGGATGCAAACTTCTAAGATAAATATAGTTACTCGTTATTTTTTGTATATGTATGGTTTAGCACTACAAAATTGTTTCAAATGACTAAGCAAAACATCTGCACATCTACACATAATATTATATATTATAATAAAATAGTAAATTTATTACATAGATTGAAATATGTATTTTTTAATTTTAATTGAGTTTTAAATTACATTAAATTTATTTATATTTTGTATTACAAATATAAATCTAATATTTATATATTGTTAAAATATATTTTGTAAATAGTTTAAACTTTCTTAATAGAATTAAATAACTTACTAAATAAATACAATAAATCCATTTCCAGAATTAAACAAACAATAGGGAATTAAATTACTGATTAACTCAATTAGTTAATAGAAAAATAAGCTGTTACTTGTTAAAATAATTACTTTTACAATATAAAGAAATTCCTAAGGTTTTTAAATAATAGTTTAAATTAGTGTTAAGAGTGAGACCACCTGCGCGTTTGCTGTCTGCCTAGAAAAAGTCCATCAATCATTAAGCAGCCGATTAAAATGACCATCATCAACAATAACTACTGTGAAAATTCATCATTGCATTGTTTTTAATTTGTTTACAGGCGCCGCTGATCCATCCATTTATATTATATAAATACAAGTATGCGCAAGACTGTATTTTTGAAATTTATGTATCCATTTTGTAGATTGTACAAATATCATGGGACATGTTTAATAATGTATTTTTAAGATATCAATCTTTTATTTTTAATTATATGCGGGTGGTTTAAAATACATATTATGAATAATAAACATTTTAATGTAATCTTTTTTTCTCTAGTTTTCAGTTTTAAATTTTTTTTTACTTTAAATGTGTCGTTATTCTATCTGTATCACACCTTAATTGTACCTATAATTGTTATGATTGATATTTAATAATAGTGCATTGCGACAGCTTATGACATCTGGATCTTGGAACTCAACACATTTTAGACTAGATTATTTAGGTACCCAATTTTTGTATTACACATTATTACATAATTATTACATAATTATATATTATTTTTTTTATGCTTAATCATTCTTAAGCATTTTCTTTTATTATGATAATGTTTAAAAATATTTATCATACTAATTATTTAATACATTAGTCTTATAATAAAACATATGTATTAGATTTAAGGTGAATTTTTATTTTTTCATTTTCTGCCCTTTGCGTCATTATCGTCTCATCTGTATATATTTTTGTGTTTTAATTTTTTTTTTTTTTTGATTTGAATTGTTTTGTCAAGACCACCTTATTCATATATATATATATATTATATATATATATAAACAAAAATACTAAAACATTTTAACATTTTATTACTTTTATGTTTTAATGAAATAAAATTGTAATCATTGTGTATGTACTATGTAGGCTTAAATTATTATTTTTTATAATATAATTGATTTTAAACATTAATAACAAATGAGTTGAAGTGAATGATGATTGATTACTACTGTATGTTGTGTAAGTAGATCTGAAAATCGGTGTAGATTTTGTTGTGACATGACATTCATTGTAGCATATTATGCTTTGTTCTGAGTACAATTTTCTGAATTTGAAAATTGTACCAAAAGAAATCAATTTTACTAGTTATCATTATCTCAATGTTCCTAATATCCGGAACATAATTATTATATGATTAATGGTATATTATTTTTTTGTATAAAATAAGAAAAATATTGATTTGAGTGATTTTATTGAGTTGTACTAAAATTTGACTGCTTAAATTTTATTTGAGTGAATAATCAATGTTAAGGCAAGTTATTGGTAAATAACTTAATTTTTTGAAAATATAATCGTATAAAAAAATATTTGGTCCAAAGAGTTGACAATTAATGTGTAGGTCACAGACTTCTATAATAACTAGATAAGTAACTCCGTGCATTAGTTGAAGCCGGGTTCCGCCATTTTCTCGGTTGGCAAATAGTATGCAATATTATATATGTATTTATGGTAAATATTAATTGATGTATTGTATTTTATTATTTCTAGACTTGTTGTTTGTAACAAAAAAATAAATATTTTATATAGATAATTTTGTCATTATTGTTATATATTACCTTTAAAAAAATTTATAATTTCTTTTATTCCTTATACATTTTGTATATTATGCCAACCAGCCAACCGAAAAGATGGCGGTCATCCCCGTGCGAGCTTCACTGATAACAATGTAAATATTATAAGAGTTACTTATCTAGTAAGTATAGAAGTCTGTGGTGTAGGTACGCCGTCGTGTAATTGGAATGTGGGAATTATTATATTTTTGATATCTTTAAACAGTCGCATCAGTGCATCACAGATTGTGTCGCATGCTAAGCAGATGGCGCCGATGGCGGTGCTTACACTGTGGCCAAAGATGTTATACACAGTTCATGAAATCCGATTGGCCCGATCGCTGATAAAATTCAGTCTGCTGATAACAAAATGTTCACTCTTATTCAATTTACTACTAGGTATAATAGTATAGTGCACCRTATTATATTATTATTATATATTATTGTAATAATATAAAATATAAATATACTAAATAACTAGTAATTACACATAAGTTCGACGATCGGTGTGCACGCGCAACGCATGTCGCCTGTCGAAGTTCTTTAGAACATCACTGTGCCAGTGTGGGAGCCTTGCGGTCGAACGTAGGACGAAAATGTGAAAAATTCTAAAAAAAAGATTATATATCTGGAACATTTTTTAAATTTCTTGTTCGCTCAGCCGCGCATCATTGATTTAGATGATATTATGAAGTAACGCACACCTCTGTGTTTGCGGTGCACATAATACGTATTATTGATATATTATTTATAAAATAATATTGTAAAATGTCTGGTTAGTGAAATGTTGTTATTAATCTGTCTTGTTTCGATTAAAGCGAATGATTGATGCAGTACAGTGAAACTATGTTTTTAGGCCGCAATAATAAGAGACCACCGCTGCTGAAGGTTCAGATATTCGACGAGCCGCCTGTTGTGTAAGCACACGAACATGAAATAATTATGTTTTAACTATTGTATTATTCTTTTACCATTCTAATAATTTTCCGTGTTTCGTGGTTGTCCATAATATGMGATTTGACAGTTTTCTTTTTTCCTTACAGTAACCTGCCTCGAAACTTGGACAAACGCACCACTATCACAATTGGCGACCAAGAAACAACAGTTGAGGCGAGTGACCTGCAGAAAATTTGTGATCTTGGACGCGGTGCCTATGGAATTGTGGAGAAAATGAGGCACATACCTTCTGGTACGATCATGGCTGTTAAGGTGAGTGATTTGATAACTATATGATATGTGATACGCCAAATTCAACCATGGGATTTTCTATCTTTCTAGAGGATAGCAGCTACAGTAAACACCCAAGAACAGAAACGGCTTTTAATGGATCTGGATATATCCATGCGGTCGTCCGCTTGCCCTCATACAGTGCAGTTTTATGGGGCTCTATTCATGGAGGGTGATGTATGGATATGCATGGAAGTAATGGATACTTCACTTGATAAGTTCTATGCCAAAGTGTACAAGTTTGGACGAAAGATTCCTGAACAAATTCTAGGACCTATTACTGTAGCGGTACTTAATCATTCGTTTTTATTAATTTTCACAATATTTTGATGATACAAGTTAGTTGATGATAATATAGTTTGTAAACAATACAAAAATGATTTGTCCATATATTTTCTGTTTAACATGTTAGTTACTTCTAGGACTTGTGAGTTAATGCAATTGCATGTTTTTTTTGTCTTATCAGAAAACTGGCTAAGTGAGATACATGTTTATTTTTTAACGATTTAAAGTTTAATAGGTAGTGCATGTTTTTGTTTGTTTTGGGTGTATTGGAATATTTGGCATATAGTTGATTTTTTGAATTTATTAGCTCATATTATGTCATGTAAATTCAGTAAAATTTTTTTTTGTAGAAGTTAAAAAATAGTTATATCCATTCTTATCAGTGGTGTATCTATGTATTTAAGCACAGGGGTGCGCCTAATTTTTTGGGCCCCTTATAAAGTTTCAGTTGATACTTGTTGATTAGGGGCTCAAGGGGCCCCATTTATAAAACACAGCTAAAGGGCCCTGGTGCAATGCACCTCCGCACCCCTTCTAAGTACGCCACTGATTCTTATTTACTTTGCAGGTCATGTTTATAAAATCTTAGTATTTTATCATTTCATTTTTATTTTTGCATGAGTTTATAAGTTAAAAGCAGTAATTTTTTTTTTGTGCATAGTTTAAGAGTTTTAATGCATATAAATGCATATTTTTAAACTTTTTAAGGTATATTTTGCCAGTTTTTAGTGCATTTAGCATGCTAATTTTGTCAATTTTTAGGACATGAAGTTATGACCTGTGGTTTTATTTACATAAACAATATTATATTAACTAACTTTTTTAACCTAATTATTAGTAAATCTATGTCTATGTTTTATAATATTTCATTTATAACAATAATTATTACCAATTTGATACATACTTTGTTTTATGATTCATTTGATAAATATATAAATAAATATATTTCTATATTTTAATGGCTTAGGTTGTTAGTGCCCTACACTATCTGCATTCTCAATTGAAAGTTATACATCGTGATGTCAAGCCATCAAACATTTTAATCAATCGTAATGGTAACGTAAAAATGTGTGATTTTGGTATATCTGGGTATCTTGTTGATTCTGTAGCCAAGACTATTGATGCAGGATGTAAACCTTATATGGCGGTAATTATATTTTTCTCAAATGTATAAATAAACATTGTATTAATTCATAATTTCATTTTTATACATAGCCTGAACGAATAGATCCCACTGGAAATCCATCAAATTATGATATACGAAGTGATATATGGAGCTTAGGAATATCTCTTGTGGAACTTGCCACTGGTAAGTTTCCATATGATACGTGGGGAACACCATTTGAGCAGCTAAAACAAGTGGTAAAAGATGAACCACCGAGACTGTCAACTGGTATGTTCACATCATACTTTGAGGATTTCATTTGTCAATGGTAAGCATAGCTAATAATTTATATTTCATTGTAATTATAAATTTGCGTAGTTAGATTGATATGAAATATATAAATATGGCTTATTATATTTTCAGTTTAAAAAAAGATTTTCGTAGCCGACCAAATTATTCTCAACTACTTGCCCATCCATTTTGTCTTGCTCATCAACAACCACAGACAGCATTAGTTGCGTCATTTGTGTCTGAAATTTTAGACTTGCCTGATTTGTCTGTGTCAGGCTAAATTATTAGCAATTAATCCACTAASAATAATATATTTATAACAATATTTGTAATATTGTGTATAAACTATAATTCAATTGAAGTTTATTTCAAATAATATTTAAATTATTATTAACAACTTTTATATTGGTAAATTTGTTATTTACCAATAAGTCATAAGTAATAATATAAATTAATATCGAAGATAGTTTACTAAAGTATTTTTAATTACTATTTGTATGATATTAGTGTTAACGAGTGATTTGTGTTTCAGAAGATCTTGGTATATAGATTTTTGTTTTGTTTTGTTTCTTTTTATATAATTGCATCAATTCTTAAAATATTGGGGTTGCCCTATCAATATTTTAGTACTTAGCACATTGCTATTTAATTGTTAGTTTTGTTTTTATGTACCATAGTCTTTTCATGTGATAATGTTAAAAAAGTGAATCAAAAATCTGTACCTGTTTATATTTTACCATATTAGTGCAATATATCTGCTTTCGCATATTTTATTTTTGGATTGTTTTTATTTTTAATAATTATTACTGTCACAATTTCTTCAGCTAATGGTAGCTTATGTCTAACCATCCATTTTTTATTAGGTAAGAGCTAACCTTAATAGGAGCAGAGAACATATTAACATTGTCCTTGCCTATAGCCATACACAATTATTAAACACAAGTTTGATGTAGGTACTTCGAATAACCTTATCAATTACAAAGAAAATTTTTTCAAAATGCGTGGGTATGTGACCAATTATTTAATATAATAATTTATTATTTTCTTTTTGAAATATATTTTTTGTTCCTTATGAAATAAATCGATTTTCGATAATGTTATGCCTATCTTCTTTTTTCTGAACAATATTTATAAATATAAG